TCCACTGCCTTAACTGGGTATTGAACTCACACTGTCACTGGATCTAACTAACACCTTTATCCACTGTGCCATGTGTCCTTTCTTGTTGTGTAAATGAAAACACTACAAGTGATTTTTGCAGCCAATGAAGTTAAATCAATATTCTCCAACTCAAGCTACAAAATTTAAGGAGTCAATGAAAACTTTTAAAAATTAAAGCAAAAATACTTTTTAAATATTTAATTTTTTTTTCATTTGAAATAACAAAAAAATGCAGTATCAAAAGAGAAGCACCTTTCGATTTTTTTTTTTTTTTTATTAAATTTCACCCAATGCAAGACTGAAGAGTCACTCAAGGTAGAGGGACTCAGTTCAAATGGTAATGATGAATGAGCTGATATGAATGGAAGAGAAGCAGGTAGGAAATGAAGATTATGAGGATAACAGGGATAGATAGTGATTGACACTTGACTTGCAAATGTTCAGGGAAGGATCTAGGCAGGACTCTTATCCACAAAATATCAATTCTTGGAGAAAAAGCTATCTGATTGGAACTTGGGTGACTTGTGCTGGATTTCACAATTAATTTTGATTATTTCCAAATTCATTTCCATGTTATAAAAATTACTATCATACAAAAAAATTTATCACAAAAAAATCACATGCAAAAATTGCCAAAAACAATCGCAATAATGAAAATTTGAGAATTAGGATTGCAGGTCTGGATCTGTCCTGGAATGTTTTTAATTTGCTAACAGAGTTGGCCTGATTCCAAAATGGTATGTTATGTTGGGCTACACCCTCTAGGAGTAAAGTTAAAAACTGTGATATAGTGACACACTGACATTTACATTTATTATATAGAAGATGAGCTATTGAAAGTTAGAGATTTGTGTCTCTTTAATTGAAAAAGTGTGACACACTGACATTTACACTTATTATGTAGATTTAATTTGAAAATATATATTAATTTAATATAATTTAATTGGTAAATAATTATATTGGATATACTACAACATGCCTAACAAGAAGACTCACATTACATCTTTCCACTCATAGCTCAATTAGGTCTCATTTAAATATGCATGGTGACCTACCAAACTCTACCTGCAACATACTTGTTGATAATATAAATATAACAGCCTCATCTACATGCAAAAAAAAAGGCTAAAAATAATGGAAGGGGGTTAAAATATATATTAAGTTATATATATTAGTATAAATATATACAATGTGCGATGTGTAAATTGTCGCTATTTTATATTTTTAATTTCACACAGGTGTATGTGGACTAAACAATTACAAAGGTTCTTCTTTAAACTCTAAAGTGGAGGTGCTTAATATAACGTCAATCAGCTAAGTGACAAATTTTATATTTGTATTAATCCTATTAAAATTATATATATAGGGTGTTTCACAATTTTTTAAACAAAATGATTGGACACAAATCAAGGACAGTAAATGATAGAGTAATGGAAATTACATTTACTGAAAGGTAAAAGGATAAAATTTTAAGATCTGCAACCATTTTATCTAAAACATGGACCAAAAATATCAAAAGGAGCCCTAGAGTACATACTCCAAATGTCCACCATTCAATTGAAGGCACTGTTGAATGCAAAGTTGTTGATAACACTCACACATTCCTTCTGGGTGATCGCTTGAATCGTCTCACTACCTTCAATGCAGCAATGCTGTGAGGGTTGCTCTGGTAGATGTTGTTCATGATGAACCCTTAGGGGAAGAAATCTGCGGGGTTCAGATCAGGTGAGTGGGATGCCCATTTCACTTCAGCTTTGCAGCTGATGAGATGCTCCTCGAAACGTTTCACGTGCTATGCCAAAGTAACATTAGCGATGTGAAGAGGAGCACTATCCTAGTGGAACCACTGTCCTCCTCATCAATGTCCTCATACTCCTAGTGCTCTCCCCATCTGAGAGGCAGCTGCTTTGTTTCAACAATTGTGAAATACCCTGTATATATATTAGATGATACTAATGTTATTTCCACACTCATTTCCTCTGGGTTTAAAGTATAAGAATAAAGTTCCACTCAGTATTTTTTCCAAGATCTGCCAAAAATTTTATGGAAGCATAAAGCATTGCTGAGTATGTTACAAGCCATAGAGAGCAAGTTTCTCATTACAGGCATCAGATTAGACCAAAAGCAGAATATTGCTGCCATATTTGAATTGGAGAGGCTTAATCCTCTCTTTTCAGCTTTGATAGGGTTCAAAATTGTTTATATGTGCAATTACGTATTTTTCATTTGACCACATCATATAAAAACAATGTTGTAAGCCTGTCACTATTCTGTTGCTTTGTCCTGGGTATGACGATAAACTACATCCAACAGTAAAACCTCTGATCAAGAGGTTTTGAGAAACATGGAACCACCTCTGAATTACTGGTGTTCCCAGGTCCAACATGACCAAGGGTGGTAGCACCTGTTAGGGTCCCATCTATGGGCAAATAGTTAACCCCAAAACTGAGGTAAAAATCATTATAAAAGTGTAAAAATAGGTTTTAATACCAGAAATATTTTGTAAAAAATTATTACCAGAAATAAATTTTTGAAGAAAAAAAAAAACTATTTCCAGCAATATATTTTTTGAAAAAAAAAATATTACCAATAATATGTTTTTGAAAATAATATTACGAGCTATACATTTTTGAGGAAAAAAAATATTACCAGAAATAGATTTTTGAGAAAACAAAATATTACCATGAAAAAAAGTTGTCGGCATTAAATAACCCATTGAGGTTGATATGCTGTAAAATAAAACAAAACCAACCTATTCTGTTGCTATTTTCATGTCAAATGTTCGGATGAACTCAATTCTTTAAGTTCCAATGTCATGCCACTTCCATGGATTCATATCATCCTCATTTCCTCAGTGTTCCAAGTTTAAGAAAAATATTTCCACCCAGACAGCTTTTTCCCAAGAAGTGTCACATGAACTCTGAACTCTTCAATCTTGACTTCTTCAAGGCAAAGGTCAATTATCATCTTTCTTTCTTATCCTCATAATCTTTATTTCTTACTACCTTTTCTTCCATTCATATCAAGCATTTTATTCAGCATTACTATTTTTACTGTAACCCTCTACCTTCAGTGGCTCTCAAGCCCTGTAATGGATGAAATTCAACATTACAAAAACTATGCAAATATGCTGCTTATTTTCTTATAGAGATTCGGATATATCCAAGTTTTTGTTTGAGTGATAACAAGTAATCATGATAAAACCAACACTGCTGCCCCTATTAACTCTAGTAATATTACCCTTACACCATCACATACTTCTTCTAGAAACAATTTAATGATGAAGACAGTTCTAATTAACTAGAACCATACACCTGATCCCATTCTGCAGAACACGGGGACACATTAAACCTTTCTACAACAAGGATCAACCAGAAGACAGATTCAAATCAAAACCAAGAGTTTAACGCCCACTCACCTAATTCTCTTGGACTGGTTGATTGAAACTGACAAGAGGAAGGCTGAAGAATGAAACAAAAATGAACAGTCCTAATACATGCAAACATGTATATGCATATATATTTATACTAATAATATTATTATACTAATATATATATATATATATATATAATGCCTGGTCACTTGTATTCAAGGATACCCGTCTACTAGGGTGGCTAGCCAATCCCTATTGCAGACTCTCACTCAGGCACATTTGTGTGTGTTCAACACCCGCAAAGCCAACCTGTGGTTTATACTGCAACTATGCTGAGCAGACCTTAGTTACAGTTTCTAGGAGAGAGCGTGTTATCTAGAATGATGAACAATCTGAACAACACCAGCACACTCAGACCCCTGTGACTTCATGCTAGCATAGCTATTGACAGCCCCAAGTGTTCTGTCTACTCAATTTCCCTCACAAGGCTTGGGTCAACCCATGGTATGGTTTTTAGGCACTTTCTAAAGGTACCACATGCTGGGATCACACCCCGCTTCAGACTGAACTGTATTGTTGTTATTATTATTATTATTATTAGTATTAGTAGTAGTAGTAGTAGTACTCAGATTGACTAAAAAGGCTTCAAAGAAACAAATCTGAGGTTTGGTTAGATTTTGGGAAAACATGTCAAGCCAAGAACTTTTCAGAAGCCCTTTTCCCTTTCCCTTGTAATTCAACTGAATTTCATTCTTTAGTTCCACCAGTTCAGACCCTTACTGCTAGAATATCCCATGTGGCTTCCCAGTAGAGGAATCACCCTCATTTCCTGCATGCCCCAAAGATAAGAAGAAAGTTCCATTCACCCAGCTTTTCCCCAAGATTTGCCATTTTGTGGAACAGACTCTTGCATGACTACTTCCCTGAACACTTAGAATCTTAACCTCTCCAAGTCAGCAGTCAGTCTTTACACTCATAATCTACACTTCTTGTCCCCAGCTTCTTGTTTGCAAATCAAAAACTCAAATGTAATGTCCATCATCACCTTCTGTTTCGTTGATTAATTCGTTTTTTTTTACAGCTTATCAACCCTTTGCAGGATATCTAAAGCCAGAAATTATTTTTTGATTGTAAGAATATTTTTTTTAGAGATAATAATGGCTTTAGTGATACAATTCTTTCTAATTAACTTATAGCTTTAGATTTATACCTGATTAGAATTTTATAAACAAACAAGAAATTACAATGTGAATATAAAGTGGGGGATCATTTCTATATTACAATCGACATATAAAATGATCACTCACTTTGTGGCCATGATAATGTAAACAAATCTAAAAGACATGCCTGTGCAGTTAATCAGTATTTCATAAACTGTTTGATTCAATTTCTACAGTTTATCAACTATTTTCTGGTTATTTAAATCCAGAAAATATTATTAGATTAGTCTTACTAATTAACCCATAGCTGGGGGAAAAGAGATGGATTCATACCTTTCCCAAGAGTATTTGCCTGTAAGTGAATATAACAAGCCAAACTGGAATTGGAACTCAGCACTCCAACTAAATTATAAGCCATTATCCATTACACCACCTGCACATCCAAGCTTACAACACCTGGTGTTCCCACGCGGTCACCCATCTAGGAACTGACCAGGCTCAACATTGCTTAACTTTAGTGATTATATGGGAACTAGTGTTTCTATGTGATATGGCCGTAAGCTCTTGTTGAATCATATCCTTTTATTGTCCACTCCCCTTAATAAAGTTTTCTCAGTTTCTTACACCCTCAGTAACCCCTTGTATCTTAGTGATTTTGTCCCCTTGCTTGGGATGGAATGATTAATATATATATGAATAAACATTAGAATAATGCAGAAGATTACCCACAATGCAACACTGACCTGTATATATAAATAGTCAAACAAAAACACAATGCATATGGCTTGAGAATTGTGTTTAAGCATGAAACAGACAGTCTGTTGATTGTTGACTTCAATGTCCACTTTTATATTTATCTTTACATATGATCTATCTCTGAATAATAACATTATTACTAACTATAAACACATGCCTAAAACATTAAATTACATCGCCATGTTTTTTGGAATCCAATCTGAAAGAATCGAACTTATATCTATCTAATACAGAGAATTCTTAAAGAGGTCAGCCATAAATTAGAACCTTGTGACTGCACAAAGGGGAAGATAGAACTCCCAATAGACAGATACACATACACACTTGCAAATACATATTACCATCCGATGCCCACTTAGACAAACCTAGATACACATAGAATTATGTACAGTTTTAATCCACGTGTCATACCAATGAGAACTGACTCAAACATAACTGAAAATATCAGTGTTTTCTGTCCTTTTGTCTGTTTTCTCTCAATCTCTGACAAAGCTTTAATAAAAGTGAAACACGTTAGACTGATAAACATTTACTATTTGTCCATTTATTTTATCATATATATATATATATATATATATAAATAATGAAAAAAACTGGGTAAAATGGCTGTCACTTGCTGAAACCTGATGAGTGGACAGAACAATTACAAGGTTTGTTTACATAATTTTGAAGTTCAGGTGCTGAATATAACATCAATCAACTTTGTGACAAATTTTATGCTTGTATTAATCATATATATATATATATATATATATATATATATATATATATCATACTTATTATAAAACCCAGGTTGTGTGTGTGTCTGTACATTTATATATTGGATCGGATTTCTTACATTTTTCAACCGATTTCAACAAAACTTCACAGGACTATGTAAAATTACCTTGCGATGGTTCTGACAGTGCCAAAAATTGGAAAAACGCAATTTTTTTTTGCATGAAATCAATTTGAAAACACGATTAAGAGGCATCGCTTTTGTAGGATGAAAGGGGGACAACTCATATCGAATTATACTTATTATAAAACCCAGGTTGTTTGTGTGTGTTCGTTTATATAGGGGATCGGATTTCCTACATTTTTCAACCGATTTCAACAAAACTTCACTTTTTTTGGCAGGTAGTGTTTCTTATTGTCTTGCACACTTTTTTCTTTATTTTTACATTTAGAATGCTTTAAAAATTCCATTTACAAGACAATTGTTTATAATAAAATTCTATTCAATCGGTAGACTTATGACGATTGAAAACAATGTTTTTGTTTGAGTAAAAAAAAAAAAACTAATTAAGACATGCGTGTCCATCAACCTTAAACAATAATCTTTGTCAATTTTATTTTTCAGTCTTTATGATGGTCGATACTTGATCTATCTCTTACTGTTACATCCCCGGGCAACTCCGGGCTCTACTGCTAGTATATATATATATAAGCATATCTTCATTCAAACATGTTTCATTGAATAATATAGACACATTTCTTTTTGTATTGATTCTTTCCAGTTGCTTAATCAGTTTCTTGATGTTAAGATAAAATTCATCAAGGAAGGTGCTTTAGTTTTTTTTTTAACCTAAGTACTTTTGACCTTTTCTAAGATCATCTTCAGGGGTAAATTAGAAAGACAAACTTAGTGTAACTGCGATAAAATCTGCATTCTGTTGTCATAGTAATTTTTAAAAGATGTGTGAATGTGTAGTGTTATAATTATTTTAGAATTTTTTAATTTACCCATTGTAGTTATAGAATCTTTCCAGTCTTATATATATATATATATATATATATATATATATATATATATATATATATAAATGACTAGAAAGGAAAGGTGTCTTAAGAGGCAGAATGTGACTATGCAAACAATGATTATATACATAAGCCAAAAGCTGTTTGAGATGACAGAGAACATAAAATACATATCAACTTTGTTTACTAAATTTTTTCCTATACAAGGCTTTACAGCCACTTCAGGTAGAGAGTTACAGTCAAAATGGTAATGATGAATGACCTATATGAATAGAAAAGAAGATGGTAAGAAGTGGAGATTATTAGGATAAAGTGATTGATTGTGATTGACCCTTGAGTTCAATATGTTAAGATTAAACTGTTCAGGGAAACACCCACATGGGAGTCTGTTTCACAAAGTTTGTGGGTAAATGCTCTCTGAGTGGAACTTTCTTCTTATATTTAGAATACGGGGGAAATAAGGGTGATTCGACTCTTTGGAAGTAGCATGGTGTGTCCTAGCTGTAAAGGTTTGAACTTGTAGCTTTCAAAAATGAAGCTCATTAAAACATTTTCCAGGGAAGTAGCAATGAAGTAATAACAGTCTTGCAATATTGAATATGTGGGAAAATGCTTGCAGAGTGGAAAATAAGTCAAGTCTTCATTCATCATTACCATGTTAACAATAACCCTCTACACTGAATGGCTCTCGGGCCTTGTATTGGGTGAATTCTAGTATTAAAAAAAAGACAATAGTATGTCATTGTATTTATTATTATTTTTCATAGTAATATTCATTGTAATTCTTTTATTATTATCCTTCAGAATAATGGTTTAATTTCTGTTCAAATTTCTGGGATGACGTGTTATCATTATTTATACTATTTATATTCCGACTATTGTCCTCATCTTTATTGTTGCTATCACAATGTTTCGGCTCTCTGATCTTCCTCAGCTGTATATCGATCTGGGTATCCTACAGGGAATCCCAAACTGAACTCTTTATTTAATCTACCAGAACAAACTGTTCTCATTGCACTTCTCATATCTTGGGATATCTCATCTAATTCTTATTTTTATTTAGTACTGCTCAGTTACTGTTCACTATAAATAGTGTAAATAATGGTATTATTATCAATAATTGTGGTGTTTTTTTATTGATTATAGTGTTGCTAATGGTGGCATTATTATTATTACTTGAAGTATGCAAGGTGATGTTGACTTTCATAGAAAGCCGATAAACCCTTACAGATTAGCTGAATGTTACTTTGCCTATAACTATTTCCCAACAGGCATTTGCCAATTTCTCTAGTCTTTGATTGGACCAAAAGTTGAGTAGGGAGGTATTAACAGGTATAGTTGTGGTGGTGGAAAGCAGCTAAAGTTCTGATATATTGGAACCTTAAGTTATTTTTCTGCAGACCTTACCACTAAACCCTTAAGATTTGCACACATAAAGCGGCTGGATATAGCAGCAGTATTAGTAGAAGTTTATACTAAACAGTAACTACGTAATAAAAATTGTGGAATGACATTGACTAACAGGCTGACGATGGAATTAATGAAATGGTTTTAAATTAGGGATGCTTATCCCATGCATCATGTTGTAGTTATATCTTTGAGAAAGGCATGAACTTAAATTATTCTGTAACTGCCACTGTTGTTTGTTGTATTGACTTCTCTACAGGTTATGAGTGAGGGTGATGCTGTGCAAATTTCTCTGTCAGTCAGCTTATGTGCAATACTTGTTCCCAAACTATATTGTGCTTATATTATTTTCTTAACTATCCATTTTAAAATGCAAATTAATGCAAATGATATTCTTGACTTTGAAATTTTGAACACATGACAATGAAAAATATTTTTCCTATTTCGTCATTGCATCTATAATGTAACACTGCCTCTTTACAAATAAATAATAATAATAATGCTAATAATATAATAATAATAATAATAATAATAATAATAATAATAATAATTGACATCACTACCACCACCACCACCACTATAGAACATTATCACTACCACCACTACCATCGCCATACACTTTTTGCCCTTTTATTTCCAAAATAATATGTCCCCTGTCCCATAATGGTTGTTACATTTGCATACACATTTCATACAGTAGCTGTAGCAACTATTATGGGACAAAGGTAGTACATGGTGACAGGTGGATCAAAATCATTGCCATGACAACAATATCCAATTCCCTATTATTCTACCTTTTCTTATAATAATAATAATAGTTCTCAAAACATCGTTATCTCTCGATAAGAAACCAACCTCTGTATTTTTTCTATTCATTTTTAAATCATATTAATAATTATTATAGTGATAGGGCGGCCGATAGCAACAACTACTACTACAAATCACAAGACAAAAAAAAAAGATTGTTTGCAGGGTTGAAAATGTCTAGACGAGGACAGTGGTGGGGTGAGCAGGAAGACTGATGAGGGTGTCAGAGATTCGTAGTAAACTTGTTGTCACTTGATCCCAAACAATTAGCACCAAACATTTGGAATAAACATACAAATTGCTGAAAAATATTATTCGTAATACTACTAACACTACTGATTATTAGTAATAATAATAATAAGAAGAAGGAGAATAATAATAAGAATAATAATAAGAAGAAACAGGAGAATAATAATAATAATAATAATAAGAAGAAGAAGAAGAAGAAGAAGAAACAGGAGAATAATAATAATAATAAGAAGAAGAAGAAACAGGAGAATAATAATAATAATAATAATAATAATAATAAGAAGAAGAAGAAGAAGAAGAAACAGGAGAATAATAATAATAAGAAGAAGAAGAAGAAACAGGAGAATAATAATAATAATAAGAAGAAACAGGAGAATAATAATAATAATAATAATAATAATAAGAAGAAGAAGAAACAGGAGAATAATAATAATAATAAGAAACAGGAGAATAATAATAATAAGAAGAAGAAGAAGAAGAAGAAACAGGAGAATAATAATAATAATAATAAGAAGAAGAAACAGGAGAATAATAATAATAATAATAATAATAAGAAGAAGAAGAAGAAGAAACAGGAGAATAATAATAATAATAATAATAATAATAATAATAATAATTAGAAGAAACAGAATAATAAGAAGAAACAGAAGAAAAAAACAAGAGAATTTGAAGAAGAAGAAGAAGAAGAAGAAGAAAGATACAACAACTCAGAATCTGATAGAAAAACTGTTTTTGAAGGAGACTTGTTGTCACTTGATCTCCAGTGTATGCTTAGAAAATGCAGCCATAATGATGATGATGATGATAACGATGCTGATATGAGAGCAAGGGCATGTTTATTGAAATCTTTTAGAAATTTAGAAATAACTTCACTAGTTTACAAAAAAGCACAAATAATAATAATATTAATAATTTGTAGTCACTAATAAAGTAAGTGAGAGGTGTACTTTAAAGTTAAAAAAAAAAAGAAAATTAAATCCAAAAATTAGCAATGAAAATATAATTGGAATGATATGTTTATAAGCCTTGTTCAAGAAACATCCATTTTTATTTAATTTTTTTTCAACACTTTTAGTGAGATGCGTAGAGGATTAACACCTCAATGGTTAACACATTTTTTTCTTCTTTTTTTTTTCAACTCATCAGCGAACTCACAATAACTGTCATAATTTTTCAAGCAATCATAATACTGCTCTAAAAGACCTGCCTTATAGTTGAACTAGTTGCCTTTCCTTCCGATGACACTGGTTCGTGTTCAAGCCTGGATTTGAAATGCTGATTTTTAAGGCAATCAGGTCCTACCCAGTGGAAGATTGGCAGTTGATTTAAGTTGAGCTTAGTATATGACAGCACCTGGAGTATTAGTACTACTAATAAATTAAATAGCTAATCAGTCTTGTGGACATATACCTTGTATATTACAAAAAAGTAAAGAATAATGTTTTAAAATTAACTGGAGTGACTTAGGAAGTTAAGGTATGGTCTTAAACGGCAATTGGAATAGCAGTAGTAATAATAAATACATTAGCACTTTGCCTTGAAGACATTCCTGTTGTAACTGCTGCTGTTACCTCTTGGATACCCGTCCCTCTCATCATCATCTCTTGTTCTGCCTGCTTGCCATCACTACTGCTGCTACGGAAGAGTTCACCAAATTCTTTCCCTCTTCTATATTTCTTTTACTTTGGCCTGTTGCATTCTTTCTTGGACCATTCCTGTCTGCAGCTATCATCCTTTCTGTCCCCGTCTCCTCCTTGTCTCTCTGCATCTGCCAGTGTGTCACTCTCTAATTCCTTAATGAAATCCTTATCTCACCAAATACCCTCAACTTTTCTCACTTTCTCTCACTATACTACTGGTTCCCTTTCTTTCTTTCTTTCTTTCTTTCTTTCTTTCTTTAGCACTTTTTTTTATCCTTTTCATTTCCCTTTTTTCCTTCTTTCTGGCACCCTTTTTCTTTCTTTTTTTCTTTCTTTATCACTTTTTTTTATCCTTTTCATTTCACTTTCTTTCCTTCTTTCTGGCATCCTTATTGGTTCTTTCTTTCTTAACTTCTCTAGCACTTTTTCATTCTTTTCGTTTCTCTTTCATTCTTTCTGGTTGACTTTCTTTCTTAACATCTCTTGCACTTTTTCTTTTTTTCTTTCTTTCTTTCTTTCTTCTTTCTTTGTCTCGTTTTTTTCTTTCTTCCTTTTTTCCCCTCCTTCCATCCTTCCTTATCTTCTTTCTTTCTTCTTCCACTTTCTTTCTTTACTATAGCCGCACATTAGAAATCAAACAATTCACGGCTATCGATTCTTTAGAAACAAAAACACAAGCACCTCGTCGCTATAACACACACACACACACACATATATATATATATATATATATATATATATATATATATATATATATATATATATATAGTAGTGTTTTATGACACTTTTAAAACCTTGTTGCTTGCTTCACAGAGTAAAGATTTATCATGCTCATATCTACCTGTGAGTTTATGTTTCTATCTTCTTTCTCTTCTGTCTCCCCTGACCAGTCCAGCTGCCGTATTTAAAAACCTTACCATCCTCTTTCGTTCTAGCTCATTGCCCCCAACCCCCGTGCTACACACACATACACACGCACACACGTGGATTTGTGCCGACATACCTAGATACCTACCTACTTACCTTACAGATTTCCTATTCATGGGGATAACGAAATATAAACACTTGTGTTAGTAGCATGGTGAATGGGTAATTTCGACTTTAATAAACGGAACAAGTTAGGGAAGAAATCCATGGTTTATCTGAAACCAAATATTACCACCAGCTGGGAAAATAAATACCACACAACCAGGATGTTTAAATATTGAATATTATAATTTACATAAAAAAAAAAAAAAAAAAAACTAAACGAAAAAACAAAACAACAACAACAAAAAACTCTTCTCATAATTCGGTTTATTACAGCATGAATTTTTTTTTATCTTACTAACTAAGCGTATCTTATTACTTACAAAAAAGTCTATCTATATCGGACACCCAGTGAGGTTCGAACTCACTCGGAATAATCTGCAACATCGGATTTACAAATAAGCACATCATTACGAGAATACACAGTTAAATGATTAATAATAATATTAATAACCATATTTGAAAATTTGTTATTTCTATATTCAATTCTTATTCTTTAAAAAAAAAAAAAGGTTCAAGACTTTATTTAATTTTCATCTGCTCCTTCTACTCTCTCTATAGTGCCTCTTGCAGTCAGTCTTGATTTCGGAAAATCCACGATCCCCAAATGAAATCAAAATCTATTTATATGGGTAAAAAAAAAGTAAGGGGTGTAGTAAATCTGGTAAATTCAAATACTTATCAATCGAGTTCTGGTTTAAACCTCCGAATGGAAATTTTAATCTGAGACAAGCTTCTCATGATGTAGTTAGTTAGTTCTTTCTTTCTTTCTTTCTTTCTTTCTTTTTTTTTCTTTTCCCTTACTTTCTTTTCATTTTTCTTTCTTATATTTTCAGTATACTTTAAAATTCCATATACTTAGTAGTGTATTACCTTCACTACCACTACTACTACAAATAGTAAATTATGTGTCTCACTGAATAAAAAAAAAACTTTTTAAATATTTGTTTTTATATCAGATCTTCTAATAAATAGGTATCTAGACGTTGTGGAGGGTAATCACATCCCATCTACTTTCAGCCTTAGTCGCGTCAAATCTATTCTACTTAACATAAAACATAACCATTACTATGACAACTTTAAGGGGTGAGGTATGAGGCTCATTTAGTAATGATCCGCGGCTCTGTATACTGGCAGTTGAGGTTCAAGTCTGGAGAAGTAGGCATTATTCAAAGCTTGGAACATTTTGTAGAATTTCCCCTCCAGCTTGGACAGTCGTGGATATTTCTACACTTCCTTGCAAAGTGGCGTTCCCACTCTCATTTCCCTGACAATTTTTGTGTGACTGTGGGTGTGGTCATGTGTCACACAGCCACATGGTGAATGAGATGGCATTCGAATATTTCTGACTATCAAATAAGCGCTTAAGATATCTTCAGTAGCAGACGACGTAGTGGCAGGCTTGGAAGCAGGCGGAGAGGACGTGGTCGGGAGAGTGTTCTACGCTTTCAGTCTGCATTCTCAGCAACAGTGGAGGCAGAAGGCAAAAGCAGACAGCATGTGCATGCATGCATTTCGCTGCACGTGTTGATATTTGGTATTCAGATTTTAGGGGTGGGGAATGCAGAGGTGACTTTTTTGCCTTTCTTTTGACCAAAGAAGAAACAAGGTACAAAAATATTAAAAAAAAAAAAAACAGGTTGTAAATTTATAAACACAGTTGATTTTAAAAAGAAGTGTACAAAAAAAAGAAAAAATATTTAATATTTATATATATATATATATATATATATATATATATATATATATATATATATATATATATATATAAGCAAAAATCTAAAGCACAACCAACAGAGAGCCTGCCAAGTGGCCAAAAGAAAGCTCAAATAAAAACGAAAAAAAAAGTACTAACAACAGAAATCAAGAAAGCATAGAAAAAAGGAAAATAAATACTATATATAAGGCGCCAAATGAAAGCTCAAATAAAAAACGAAAAAAAGTACTAACAGAAATCAAGAAAAGCATAGAAAAAAGGAAAATAAATAATATATATATATATATATATATATATATATATATATATATATATATATATATATATATATAAAAAGGCGCCAAAGTCTTCAAGACTGGTATTTTACTAACAATATGAAATCTTTAAATGAAAGCTAACCTCTACACACCCAAGAAATAAAAGAAAGGTATTTTAAAATCAGCCACGAATTCTTAATTATTATTAATAATAATAATTCACGAAGGAATTGAAAATTTGGGAGTTTATTTATGATCAGGATTTTAAAAAAATGCTGTCGTCTGAATTATATGGAATTCTGCGCTTTGGTAAACCGAATCATTCACTCAAGGAATGCTTTTAAAAGCTGAGAGTACGTGTCCACAAATTACAAGAGTGAGAGAACAACACTGGATGTTATTTTTACTGTTACCTGTTCACGAAAACCCCAAAACAACTTCATTTGATGTCACATCATTTTTTATTGTTATGATGAGGTCGATAAATTTAAAACAAAATTTCACCTGGAATTACATATTACAAGAAACATTTTTGGAATCTTAAAAAGTTTTCAAAATATTAAAATAAAATTAAAAAAAAGAAAAGAAAAGCAGAACGGAAAAAATAAAAATAAAGAACAAAACACAAAACAAAAAAATTCTTACATACAGGCAAATAAAAATACGGGTGATTATATATTCAAATCATCTATCTATCTATCTATCTATCTATCTATCTATCTATCTATCTATCTATCTATCTATCTATCTATCTATCATTTTTACTTATCAAACTTGTATTCGTTTTTTTTAGCTGGCATTTTTGTTTTCATCAAAACAAATCGGTTATCAGAAAAAAAATAACTGATATATATTTTTTTACACAATTTAAACATCTTTCCTCATCATAAAGAATCATTTCAGTTCAAGTCTTCCTATATATATATATATATATATATATATATATATATATATATATATATATATATACTGTTCACTATCCAGTTTATTTTCGTGTTTTGGATTCTCATAAAAATCGTCTGTAAGCTTTCCGAAGAGCCTTTGTGACCAACATAAAACTTTTTTTTTTTAAATTTCATATATTTACCTCATTTAAGAAGTGTTGTGAAAAAAACAAATCATCAGCAAATTGAGTTATCTATCTGACAATTTACACTAAAAATACTGACCCTCTTACATACAAAATAGAATTACGCACATCTACGTCTATATGTGAATGGATCACAATTGGCCTTTGATGTTGAACATTGATTTTAATGGCAAGCCAGCTATATAAGTAACAAAGATATGGGACTAGTGATACCGTTGGATGTTTAATACACCCCAAATTGGTTCCTACTTAGTGTCTTAAAGTACCGACAACTATAACCAAGTACTAAAAACATAATTCACTACTGTTGGATCTTACTAAGTTAAAACAAAGGATAATGAATTTTTATGACAGTTGGATAAATTCAATTTATTCCGTAAAAAAGGACACTATTTCTCCTTTTGTTGTTGCTGCTGTTGTTGTTGCTGTTATAGGTCGAGTGGGGCTGTGTTGAATAGAGGTTTCCTTCCACGTGTCTGTTGGTGTGTGTGATGAGGTAAAAATACTTATTGCAAGGTTCTGTGTCTACAACTGCTCGTTACTGAGTCAAGAGTGATGTACACGTTCCCTGACCCTGTGTAATTGTTTGAGAATTCAAACAGGCACATCATAAATTTCTGCTCATTATGTTTTTTTGTTTGTTTGTTTTTTGAGTGTGAAAATAGGCATGTCGCTCTGGGCCACAGATTTGAGAATCTAGTAAATATTCCTATTTTCTTTCTTTCTTTTTTTCTTCGCATATTGGAGCCTTACATCCCTCCCGCTCCTTGCCCGGTCCCTCCTTCTTTCAGCCGGCCGTCTCTCCCTATTTCTTTTACCATCGAGTCCCCACCCATTTGAATTCCACCCCTACCTTTACCCAGCTAAATCCTTGCATTTGTAGCCACCAGTTGCTGTCTCTGGCCCATACCTGTAGTGCACATAAATGCGTCCACATGCACATGTTTAAGTTTTTTCTCTCTCTCTCTCTCTTGCATTTAAGAACGTAAAAAGTGTGTACCCAGAGATGTTTAATTTACCCAGTGCAATACGTAGCGTGGAGTTTGTTTTATAAAGAGGCATCCTCCTGGCATAAATGTGTCAAACAGCTGTTGAACACATTTTCACGTGTTTATGCATTTCCATGTGCCAGTGTGTACACACGTGTGCGCAGCACCAGACAGATTCTGTCCTTGAAAGTTATCCCTGTTCTTATGACCCCTTATCTCCATCCTCTCTTTCTGCATCTGTCCTGGTTGGTACCGTCAGCCTAGGTGCTTAACAGACACCTGTCACTTTTAGCTTAAGTTAACCCTTTGCCAAATAACACATCGCCTGTTTGACTAACATTCCAGCAGGAGTTTTGTTTTGTTTTGTTTTGTTTACACCAGAAACAAAGAAGAGAATTTACCAAAGTCGATACATATTGTTATTTAGTGAGGTTCTTTGATCACCCCGACCCCCCCGCTCAAAAAAAAAAAATACGAGATTTTTGACAGCAGAAACAAATAAAGGAATTACCGAAGTCGACACGTGTTGTCATTTAGCGAATTTCTTTGAGATCACACCCGACATTAACAAAAAAAAAAAAAAGGACCCAACCCTGAATTGATTCCTACCTACTTAATTTATTTTCCCATCTGTCCGATCTTAAGATTTTATCATTTTACCTTCTCTCGTCTCTTTGCGTTTTCACCTGTCTGGTGTCTATTTTATGTTGTGGATGTTCATGGAAACAATATTAGGTAACATCAGTTGTTGTAGTGTTAGCCTTCACAATCACTGCTGCGACCAAAGCAGGTGACACTTACCGGTCACTGCTCAGCCAAGATGACCACAAGTGTCCAACAGCAGCAACAAGAACAGGAGCAAGAAGAGTCTCAAAAGGAGACAAAACAGCTGTCGAGGATACCTGTGGTACGCATCAGCAGTAGTAAATGGGACACTATACTACCGGCAACTAATGAAACTACAAAACAGGATCGGGCTCAGGTAAGAAGTATTCCTTCCTTTAATTTTAAAAGCTCAGCACAAAAAATGATAATTAACAATGTGTTCCATAATGGTAATAAAAAAAAGGAAAAACCAAATTTTGTTTTATATTGCAATAAATCATTCCTCGAAAAATACAGTTAATTTAATTCAATAAAAATAATAAAACATAAAATATCTATATTTTTCTAACGACTGACATGCATAAAAACGGACACAAACGCGGACAAAAAAAATCAGAGATCAGTTTAGTAGTACGTTGACATTATAAATAGAACATTTGGTGTCGTAATGAAGGGCACAAAGTCAGGGTTCAAATTGGCATTATATATACATTGTAAATCAAACCCTTACTTTAAAGCCACTTCGTTCGTTTCTATTTTTAAGCTTGCATTTTCTAGAAAAAGAACGGTTTCCCAAATAAATAAAAGTAATTTTCATAAGAAGCAGAACAAATAGTAACAAAAAAAAACTTTCTTACTAGAAAAATATTTAGTTTAGCTTAACCGAATCTTCGGACAGAGGCAATTACGTTCCTGAATTAATGCTTCCGTTTCATTATCTTGATGTTAGAAACGGATATTGGTGGAATGGAAGAAGCAAATGAATCTTCCCACCAATAATCCATATTTTTTTTTTACCTTGTTATAGATAACAGCAGAACGGCACTTTGGCAAAATGGTGCCTGACATGAAAATGTCAGAGGTGTGCTATTCATTCCAGCCAGCATATAGAAATAATTGCACCCTCTCACACTTATTGTTGTCATTTCCTGACAGTTTATGGAGAACAGTTAGGCAGTGAGTAATTCGTTTCAGCTGTGGTGACAATGATGTGTGCAATAAGCCATACTCTGTTGGCCTGGCACTGACCTTTGTATATTACTGGTAAAAATGCATAGCCAATGGTGGTGACTATATAGTAAAATAATGCCTTGTAGGCGTGGACTTGCTCTATCCAGTAGTGTCATACTGCTCTCTATATCTGTTGTATTTTAGTATCCATGCAAATAAAAAAAGTATTGCTTTAGAAGTGTCCCTCATCTCATCTCATTCTCTCTCTCTCTCTCTCTCTCTATATATATATATATATATATATATATAAACACCCAGCGGTGATAGTTCTATCCTTAGATACAATCTGCAGGTCATATAGATTGCACTTAAGCATGAAAAAGACTGTCGCTGCTGGGTGTTGACCTCATTGTCCACTTTTATATTTACTATATTTATATGCTCTATCCCGGCATGCCTTAAAATTATATTTTTATCATATATATATATATATATATATATATATATATATATATATATAATAGTACAATACTACTTTTAAAGTGTGTCTGTGTAAAGTTTGTTAGTAAATCAGATAAATTATTATAAATTATAAAGATCATAAGTTTTAGGAACCTTGTTAAAAATTACAGAAAAAAAATAAAACTTTTTATTTTTTTTACTGTAGCTGTTCTGCTGCCTCTTTGGGAAATACTAGTAAAGTAAGGAAGAAATTCTTAAGAAAAATATATAATAGATCAGAAGGAAGATTATTTCTACTTTCACTTTCACTATTCCCCAAATCTATATACCCTACAAAAACAATTAAAGAATCAAAATTTTCCTTAATTTTTTTTTCAGAATTGTATTTCATATTATCAGTCAGTTATGTGCCATGTGTGATACACACTTAGACGATCATGTATCTTTTGATACATGATTGACAAGGCAGGTTTTTTCCCACACTAAGCTGCCATTTCTTTCTGCGGCAGACCAGTTGCCACCCATAGCTATAGAAACTGGTCTGTTCTGCTATTTACCCATAGCTGGTGGGAGAAGAAGAGGATTCATACCTTTTCCAAGGGTTTTAGCACATAAATGAATGTAATGGATTCGACTGGAATTTGAACTCGGCTCTCTGATTCCTCAATCCAAGCCGCTATTCATGACTCCATTATGCTGCCTCCTTTTATTATCACAACACTTAAACTGATTTATTCTTTAACCATCTTCATGTAAATAACAAAATCATTGTCTAGGAAGAAAGGATGCCCACATTAAAAATAATGATAGTTTTAGAATTTGCAAGTTGAAATGTGATATTCAGAACAGCTAAAGAAAATAAAAAGATACAATTTTGATATGAAAATTCTCTTGATTAGATTTTAATCAAATATCAAATTAAAATAATGTAAAAAAATTTAAAATTATTTCTTATCATATTCAAGATTTATGCAACTGATTACATGATATATACTAATTCTGAATTAATTTTTTTTATTTAAGTTACTTAACTTTTAAATATAAAAGCAATTCTTTTTGGTGAAACATGTTTTCTGTTTTTTAATTACTGAATGCCATTTAAAATTAAAATATAAGTTTTTTGAAAAAATTTTTTTCACATTTTTTAAGAAATGGATGAAAATATTTTTAAAAGCATATTCAAAATAGACATGTTTTTTTTTAAATTTAAATAGATTTATATTATTTTATGGAACTAATTCTAAAATGTAATTCAGAATAATTTTTATTTTAGATTTTTCATCAAAAATTTACTATTCTATAATTTGGATAAATTTTATTAATCTTTAAATCAATAAAGAGGCATGAAAAAATACTTATAAACATTTATTGAAAGTGTTTATTAATAACACTTGATTCATTCTTAAGTTTTATTAATGATAGTTTATATTGAAGTTTTTTAAAAAGTTCTAAATTTTTTTTATACTAAATTAAAAAAGCAAGACAAAAATGACAATAACAACAGCAGCCTCCCCAAGAAAAAAAATAGTGAGAGTTTTTGAGTTTATTCATAGATTTTTCTGTCTTCATAAACTGTTTTTCTAAAAGCAAGTAACATTCAGCTGAACAAATTTGACTTAAAGAGGCAGCAGCTACCAACACAAATTTGTTCCTGGAGATCAATCAGTTTGTTACTATAAATGTGCTTATTACTAGTAGCATTATAGTATTTTCTCAACAAAGATTGGGAGGGCTATCATCCGTTTTCGAATGCAACGAATCCAGAAATGTGATTTCGAGACTGATGGTAGCAGGTGGTGGGGCTGTGAGAAGGATATTGCAGGGGCTAAGGTGGGAGTGGGGCTGCACACTCATGAGACATGACCAAAATAGAGGAAGTGTTATTTTTCTGAACATCCCCTGTATGCATTTCTGTGTTGCAGTTGGGGGGACAGATTTTATGTAGAAATCACAGTCCTTTATTTAAACTTGCTTTTGAGGAAAAAAAAAGGTTTTGTATTTTTTAGGAATAAAAATACTGATTTCTTGGTTTTTTTTTATACATTGAAAAAGAATTGTCCTTTTTTAGGTTTAACATTTCATATGTATACATGTATGTGTTTGCATGTATGTGCATGTGTGCATATATCTATATAAGTAATATATGTGTGCATATACAAGTATGTATATATATATATATTTATATATATATATATTTCTGTGTATATGTATATATATATATATATATATATATATATATATATATAAAATAGTAACTAGTTCTGTTGTAGTCAGATGCCAGAGTGTCATTCCCATTTCAGCCTTGTGTTATACTTTTTTTTGAAATTATTCAGTCCACACGTTAGGAGGTTTCAGCAACTGACTGCCGTTTTTCTCATTTTTTGTTATTTTTATACTAAGTTTGATGTGATTAATTAATATATATATATATATATATATATATATATATATATATATATATGTATGTATGTATGTATGTATGTATGTCTGTGTGTGTGTGTATTAATCACATATAAACATATATATGACTGATCTCCTGTTCATATTAAACAAGATAGACTTCAAGATTTGGTTAGTTACTTTCAACTGGTACTACAGCAATCTGACAAACACCCACAAAGCTTGATTATATTGTGTGGTACAACTGGGGTGGCATAGGTTAGAGGTAAAGATGTCATACCATGGGTGAATCTAAAATCATCATCTGATGAGGATTTTTGGGGAGGCATAGCCATTGGTGCATCAGCAGACATTTAAATGATATATATGTGTGTGTGTGTGTGTGTGTGTGTGTGTGTGTGTGTGTGTGTGTTTATTTCATGATGTAAGGGAAATGCAGGTTCATTCCTTGCTCAGAGGTATATATTCTTTGACTTTTGTTCAGGTTGGTAGTTATCAATTACAGTTTACAAAAAAAAAAACAAACAAACCTCGGATGTCTATTCAATCACATTTTTGCATGTATATGTCAATAAGCAATATGTACATACATACACACACACACACGCATGTTTGTAAAAGAGGTACACACACACATATGTAGGTTTAAACCAAACAAAACCCATCGAACAGTAAATTATTGGAGGATAACTTGTTTAAGGCCAGCTGATATTGTGAAGTCAGAGAACTTTTTATTTATCTACTCACCATATATATATATATATATATATTAATAATAATAATAATAATAAAGACACATTTTTTTCCATAATTGTAGTAAAACTCTGAGGTTGATGCACAATGCAGTCGCCAGGTGCTGAGTGAAGAGTTGTGTTACTGATGAGAATAAAAATGTATATTTATTATTAATATAAATTATAGCTCTGTTATTATACATCGAGCACTATTTTATTAATACCAGCACTCAATGTGCAATATTGTCTCTGTGTGTATGTGTGTGTGTGTGTGTGTGTAAAATATAAAATTTAAATTTGCAACCAGATTTCATCTTTAACAATTTTTCTGTCACAAAATAGGTTGGGATGTTTAACAACAACAGCAATAAAAAAACAAAAAGTTTTGGGAAAACCAAATAAGATCAGCTGAGCTGTGTGTCTAGACACACCGGATGGAAAACACAAGATTTAAAATACAATGACCCTGCATAATTTACAACCATCATTTACATCTTTGTCTCCCTTCTCAACCTACATATATAAAATTCCATCAATAAGAACATTGCTTTAGTCTGATGAAGTCCTTTTAAAGGACGAAACACATTACAGAGAATTTTTTTCTACTGTCATTTAGTTGCCCAATAAATTGGTATCTAAGTTTTTAAATATACATAAGTGGACACCACCATGCTATTCCTGCTCAAGACATGCCACAAGAGAATGGACAGGATCTGATAGGAACAGTGCAGGGTAAAAGAAACCGAAGTAGACAGGAATGGAATTGAGAAGACAAAATCAATGTGTAGATATGGAGGAGTTCTGCAAAAATGCAACCTCTGTCCAACGATTGTCCAAAATAAAGTTATTTGGTGATGTGTTCAGCAGTGCAGCACCCCGATGACTATATCAAATAATGGGATCAATGATAATGACGTATATACATTCAGCAGGTAGGGTTTCTTGTATAAATAGTTAGCAAAAACCTGTATTCATAACTGAAAAAAAATACAGAAATTAACTGTAACATGTGGGACTCTAGATAGAATCTATTACTCCATTTTTACTTTTATGTGACAGGTTGTACTGGGTTATATGGTATCAGCAACAATGAATGATCCATGATCTGACCCATTGCGCAATGGTTTCATGCCTTTCTCGTGGCGTTAGTGCAAGGAGAACACAAAATAATCCAGGGTGGATCTGATCTTTGTTCATCAGTTTGGATGGTGCTTTTCTACATCTAGCTTAGATATGATACAAGGCCAAAAATATGAGGCACCCAGTGAGGATCAAACTCACTATTCAGTCATAATTGATCTAGTGAGGCAATCCTGCTAACCTTTACACTATGTTGAAGCACTCCAAAAATGATTTTCTAAGCATAGCTTAGATGTGGGACAAGGCAGAAAGTATAGAGCACTCAGTGAGTATCCAACTTACTGTTCAGTTGTAATTGACCTAGCAAGACAAGCTTGCTAACAATTACACCACTTTCATGCCCTATGCTGATTTTCTAAGCATAGCTTAGATGTGGGACAAGGCCGGAAGTATGGGGTACCCAGTGTGAACTGAACTCTCTATTCCCTTGTAAATTGATCTAGCGAGACAAGCTTGCTAACCATTACACCACCTTGAAATTCTCTGATGATTTTCTAAGTATAGCTTAGATATGGCAGAAGGCCAAAAATATAGGGCACCCTGTGAGGATTGAACTCACTATTCAATTGTAATTGATCAAGAGAGACAAGCTTGCTAAACATTAGACCACATCAAGGTGACCAGTGATTTTCTAAGCGTAGTTTAGATGTAGCACAAGGCCAAAAGTATAGGGCACCCAGTGAGTATCGAACTTACTATTCAGTTGTAATTGATCAAGAGAGACAAGCTTGTTAACCATTACACAACATTGAAATGATTCATCAGTTTGGATATGCAGTTAATGATGCAGAAAGTGGAATTGGAAAATAGTAAGGTAGACCATGCTTTTTTGCCTTGTTAGAGTAACCAATCTCAGAGAAGTATCATGTCAAAATCAAAACCATCTTAAAGAGGGATGGACTTCATTGGATTATCTTGCCCTAGACATATCCATTGTTGCCACAGCTGCAATACAAATAGGGCCCCTATAACCATAATGGGTGACAGGATGCATCAATGTCATTTTCTGTGCTGTTAAGCAAGATATTCACTCCACACTTTACCATAATATGTTCTGTATATTTATCTGTGTCTTGTTAAGCTTATATAAGCTTTTGAGAAGCGTGTGCATATAAGCACATGCCTCATTGAGTTGTTATGTTTATTCTAATCTACCATAGTGTTTTTTTATATCACTCTCTTCAGTCTGATCAGGTTGAGCTCTTTTGCTCTCTCTCACTCTCTCTCTCTCTCTCTCTCTCTCTATCACTTGCTCTCTCTCTTTCTTATTTTGTTCTTGTTTATCTATCTTAGTTTTCTTCTTTTTATTTCTCTCAGTCACTAAGTTTCTTTTTACTTCTGTCCCTTTATCGTTCTCAGGATTTCTTTCTTTCTGTAAATGTTTCTGTCAATTTATCTTTCAGTCTCAATCAGGTCTTTTCTCTATCTATCTCAGTCACTTCAGTTCTATCTATCTATCTATCTATCTATCTATCTATCTGTCTGTCTGTCTGTTCAGATCTATCTACATATGTTCAAATATATTTATCTATCACTTTCTGTTCAAATCTATCTATATACTCCATATGTTCAGCTCTATCTATTTATCAATCTCATTCCATTCATATCTATCTATCTATCTATCTATCTATCTATCTATCATTGTGTTCAAATCTGTCTAGTCGAATCTATCTATCTATCTATCTATCTATCTATCTCATTTTGTTCAAATCTGTCTGTTCAGATCTATCTATCTATCTATCTATATCAGTTTGCTCAGATTTTACTGTTATGAAATATTTAAGGGAGTTTGGCAAGTTGAAGTCTATGTTCTAAATCAGAACATATATTATTTAATAAGCCTCCCATATCCGATAGCTTTGCCTCTAATTTATATATGCCTGTATGTGTATGTGTGTGTATTCTTGCTTTTCTATTCATCAATGAATATATATATATATATATATATATATATATATATATATATATATATATATATATACACGTGTGTTATTATGTGTGCCTATATATGTAATGCATTTACATATTTATTTTCTTAGTTGCAGTAAAGCATATATTATGTCAATATTCACATATCTCCACACACGGGCACAGATTTTGTCTTTCCATCAAGGAATTTTATCGTTTATTTCACTGCAACTGTTTCGTTTTGTTTTGTTTTGTAACTGCAAATGCCATCCTCTGTTTTTATGTGGATGAAGTTATTTCTGGTTTGTAAGTTTAGACAGGGAAATAATTTTCTTTCACTGTCTTGATGGCAGTTATAAATTCAACAGATATTTATTAAGCTGAGTCTAACACAGGGGCACTTTTGGGAGAAAGAAGATTGTGCTGCACCAGGTTTTCCTCTCAGAAAGGACTGAGATGCAAATCCTAGAATAATATCTATCTATCTATCTATCTATCTATCTAAGTTGATTCATATCTATCTATCTATCTATCTATCTATCTATCTATCTGAAACCCTGATCACTGAAGCAATGTCAAGCCTGGTCAGTACCTAGATGAATGACTATGGGAGAATATTAAGTGTTGTAAACTTGGATGTGTGGGTGGTGTTATGTATAATGATTCAGAATGAGAAATCACAGTGCCAAGTTTCAATTTTAGTCAAGTTCATTATATTCGCTTGTGTGCAAATACCCATGGGCAAGGTATGATTCCACCTCTACTCCCCACAGCTATGGATTAATTAATACGACCCATATCAGAAAATCCTTATTATCTTAAAAAAAAATGTTACAATGTAGAAATATTTGCTGCTTTTAAATAACCTGCAACAGGTTGGTAAGCTATAAAATCTATCTATCTATCTATCTATCTATCTATCTATCTATCTATCTATCTATCTAATCCTGTTCAAATCTATCTATCTATCTATCTATCTATCTATCTATCTATCTATCTATCTATCTATCTATCTATGTCTAGCCTTCATTTTCTTATTTAAGGGTGCATTAAAAGCAACAGTGATGTGGGTTATAGAGTTTTCCGATGCTACTTTCAAGTAGGAGTGCATCTGGTGCGGAGGGGGTTTGGCAAAGTAACTCGAGCTAAGCAAGACCACTCATGAAAAATTCCCAGCTCTTTAAGTGGTGTAGGTATCAGGCACACAATGGTGCTAAGCTTTTAGTCATGCACAATGCACAAATCTAATTATTACTTTCAACCTGAAGGAGTCAATATCTTTTAAACCCACATTGTCAGACACATACCAAGGGTTGGGTTCATGGCTCACCTGGTAAGAACGTTGGTCTTCTTTTTTTTTTGTCGGCTCTTGTTCAAGAATTAGTCGAAGCTTTGTTATAATCACCTTGGAAGTTGAACAGCTTTTTTGGCATGTTATAATTTTTTTTTCATCTGCGTTGGATAAAAAAGAATTTAATTGGAGTCTAGGCCTATTATTTTTTATTTTTAAACTGAAAGCAAATCTTTTGCACTTTTTATCCATCGGAATTAATTCATTTTTTTTTCTGCTTGTAAAATCTGCAATATCTAACATTTTTATCTTATAGTTTATTGGTCATCTGATTTGTCCTTCTGTCTGTCTTTGAAGAATTCAAGGATGCTTAGAAGTATGTCTACCAAATTTTCTTTGGCTATTTATGGGATAATGACTTTGCATATTCAGTCAGTTTAGTGCCATACATTATGCGAACTTGGTTGATCATGTCTCTTTCAAATCATGACTGACTAAACAAGATTTTCCCACAGTAGGTTGCTGTTTCTTTCTGCAGTAGACTGGTGGCCAACCAAGGCTGTATGACTCTCTTTCCCTCTCACTTTCGTATGGGGCTACAATCTCAATATTCCAGGTGTTGCTGCTATGGTATCTATAACAAATATTTTTTTCATGGAATGGAGTTGCTAATCCCATGCCCTGCCAGTATTGAATTTGGAGTTGTCATTTTACTTGGCTGGTTGCCAAACAAGGCTGAAGGGCCCAATCTGTCCAGTGTTTGAGTTTTTGATCTAAAGATGAAATGTATCTCCCCACCCCCAAAATAAAGAATACACTTGATGATTGGTCATTAGATTAAATTTTGGGAAAGTATGTAAAAACATAAAGCATTCAGAACTCTTTGTGCCTATTATGTTAGCTGAATTAATTCTTTATCTTTTTCTTTAACTGTATAGTGCTGATATCTAGCTGAATATTTCTTAATCAGATCAAACAAGATATGAGACTTGGTGCCAAACAGCATATTGCCTTACTGAAATTGTGGTGACGTTTGACATCCCTTGATCCATTGGCTTGACAGCTCTCGTGAAATATCAGAGATCAAAAGGTTCATGATAGTTGGTTCCAAACAAATAGGATAATCCCTTACTGAAATTGTGGTGACGTTTGACATCTCTTGATCCATTGGCTTGACAGCTCTCATGAAATATCAGAGATCAAAAGGTTCATGATAGTTGGTTCCAAACAAATAGGATAATCCCTTACTGAAATTGTGGTGACGTTTGACATCCCTTGATCCATTGGCTTGACAGCTCTCATGAAATATCAGAGATCAAAAGGTTCATGATAGTTGGTTCCAAACAAATAGGATAATCCCTTACTGAAATTGCGGTGACATTTGACATCCCTTGATCCACTGGCTTGACAGCTCTCATGAAATATCAGAGATCAAAAAGTTCATAATAGTTGGTTCCAAACAAATAGCATATTCACTTTCTGAAATTGTGGTGACATTTGACATCCCTTGATCCACTAGCTTGACAGCTCTCATGAAATATCAGAGATCAAAAAGTTCATGATAGTTGGTTCCAAACAAATAGGATATTCCCTTACTGAAATTGTGGTGACATTTGACATCCCTTGATCCACTGGCTTGACAGCTCTCGTGAAATATCAGTGATCAAACAATTTATGATCGTTGGTTCCAAGCAAATAACATATTCCCTTTCTGAAATTTGACATCTTTGATTTAGAATGTCACATATGTACCAGGTATACCTAATGGTAAGCACTAGTGACTAAGGTGGTCAGCATGGTGACTGACCACAAGTCCTTAATGATGATGACCAGAGATATCTTTCTAGAATTGTCTGTGATAACAGACTGGCTCAAATAATATCCACTTTTGAAAAAGTGGGTACAGAAGCATATCCAGCAAGTTGGCTCAGCATTTTTCTTCTTCCATAGAATATGAAAGGCAGAAGATGCACCACCCCCATAAAACCCCCAATATTGTGGCCAGTACAATCATATATTTTAAGCAGTATTAATAGGCACAATCTGAACAATATAAGAAATACAGACAACACTGTCTTGATGGCAAACAAAGAAAGAAAATGCAGAAACTCCCAGACAAAGTAGTACAGGAAAGCAGAAAGAAAAGACTAACTATCAGTTAACAGAAGATAGAATTTATTGTTGTTGGCAAGAGGAGTAGACCAAGATTTTGAGCTACAAGTTTGCACATAGGTAAGGTGGTTCACTGTGTCATGCTAGGCAATTTTTATTGTCAGAATCTATCTTAGTATTCTTTCTTGCTTTGGACATTGCTACCATGTCTGGTCTGGTGCTTCTACTATGTATTGAGAGACTCTAGATATAATACCAAGAAGAATCTGCAATGACCTGGCATCTCAGCTTCAGTTATTTTCCCACTGTCATGACATAGCTTCCCTGTGCCTTTTCTCTAAATATTTTCATGGTAATTGTTCTGATAAACTTTCCTCTTTGGTACCTAGACTTGATGAATTTAAGTGCAGTACTAGATTGTCAACAAGGTCTCATCAGTTTACAGCTGAAATGGTTAGATGTAATTGTAAGTTCTATGCTAACAGTTTCTTCTCTCACACTTCTTGCTTGTGGAACTCTCTTCTGGCTTTTTATTTACCAGTCAACTTTGATCTTCAAACATTTAAATGCAATGCCAATTATTTTGTTCTGTCTTCTTAATTTCACATGCTTTCTTTCTTTCTTTCTTTCTTTCTTTCTTTCTTTCTTTCTTTCTTTCTTTCTTTCTTAGTATATTTTTCTCATATTCTCTGACATTCAATAACCCCCTCACATCCTGGTGGCTTTATTGCCTTGCTTGGGTTAAAATGATAAACAAAAAGCATTTGTTTCTCATCATTTATAATAAAAAAAAAAATACCACACACCTCATTCATTTTAATAATAACCTTCTATCTTGAGTGGCTTTCGAGCCTTCTATTAGATAAACCTAAGTATGGAATCCATTTTTAGTAGTAAAAGGCCTGCAAAATTAATTTGACAATCACTACTCTATGAGAAAATACCTAAATTATCCAGGTGTGAATTTTTAGAGTGTACACTGATGTAATATAATGTATCTGTGACAAATTAGCTGACCGCAACCCTGCCTTCCTTATCCTAAGCATATGACGAGAGTGTTATTTTGAGTATCTGCTGAGGATTTTATGCTTCCGTTAACATTCACAAGAACATGTGATGAAGAAATTTTATGGCTTTCCCTTCTGCAGTACAGAGAATTTTCTTATTTGTCTACTTCACAACGGTGATAATTCTGGCAAAACATTCTACACTAACTGTACAAGGTGTTACCTGTAGGATTTGTCTTCTGTATCCATTTGTTTGTTGATAACTTATAAAGAAGTCCCTGATGAGTTGAACTTGTTTAATAATGCACAAAGTCATGACAGATTTTACAAGAATATATTTTGAGAACTCAAAGAGATTTTCAAACAGTTGAACATATTCTTTCTTTCTTGTGATTTTTGTTGATCTCACTCTGATCCATTCTATCACTTTCTCTGTTCTCTTTTTCTTTTATTAGCGAACATGGCTCTCCACAACTTTCTTTGTTTTGTTACCTTACAGTTGAGCTTTACCATTTCTTTTTGACCTTGTTTTGCCATCTGAGTTAAATAGCAACAGCAAGATTCAAATCCAGAATATCAGGTCAGAATTTCAGAATTAGTTTGTCCACCATTCACTGCCATATCCAATATTACACAGCAGTGCAGTAGACTTGATTTTGTTTCTAGGGACATGTTCTTATCTCCTAATTCTTTGCTCAGTTTCTGCAAGACGTATTTTACTGTTTCTTGTGGAATTTCTAGAATCTGTCTTACATATCTATAAGTCTACCATTCATCCATACATTGAATATTCTTGTTAAATATGATCTGGTGCTTCTGTTAAGTATTTATAGATTCTTGATAAAATACAAAGAAGGATATGGAATATTATTGGTCTTCACCTGGCATCTCAGCTTCAGTCACTTCTGTAATGTAGTTTACTTATACTTTTTCTATAAATATTTTCATGGTAACTGTTCGGATAAGCATTTCTCTTTGGTACCTCTACTTTAAGCATACAATGTGATTGGTGGGAAGGTCTCTTCATTTTACAGTTGAAATGTCTAGATGAAGCCATATATTCTATGCTAACAGTTTCTTTTCTCACACTTCTTGTGAGTAGAACTCTCTTCTGGCTTCTTGCTTTCCAGTCAATTTGATCTTCAAAAATTTAAATGTAATATCAATCATTATTTTCTGTCTTTTTAATATCTGTTCTTTTATTGTCATCTGTCCTTAATAATATTTGCTTTGCATCATATTTTCACACTTTTATATCCACTTACCTCTTGCATCTTAGTGGCTTTATTGCCGTGCTTGGGGTGAAATAATTTGATGCTTGGATGAGTTATAACAAATTTGGTATTGGAGAAAAGGTCACTGAACATAGAATCTGCTGCCCAAGGGGTAGTTTTGCTCAACACTGCAAAATAAACACAAAACCAAAATATTAAAGTAAGAACTCAAGTTATGTAATTAAATGCAGGGCGCGATGGGTAAATTGTCACCATTTTATATTTTTATTTCACACATGCAAGTTGATTTTTGATTTTGTTGACTGCACACTATAGTAGGGTCAGTTGGGCATTGTCTGTGACGCAATTCGCAATTTGGAAACAGGATGCTGTACTGCTTAGCATTTGCACCAAAAGC